GTCGATCATCCGCCCCCACAGCAGATAACTCAGCAGCCAGGTTATCGACTCGAACAAACCCAGTAATCCAATTTCCGAATAGGACAGTTGCAAGCGATCCACCTGCACGATCGGGTGAAGCGGCCATGCCAGCAGACCGCCCAATCCAAACAGCGTGTTACCGAAAAGATAGACCGCAAAGTTTCTGTCGCTGCGCACGATCTGCCACAGGTCGGCAAATGTCTTGGTCTGGCGCGGCGGCAGTTTCCCCTCGTCTAGATCGATGCGCGTAAAGAAATACGTGGCCAGAATGCCAAACAGCGCGCCGATCGGAAAGAGCACCTGATACCCAACATGATCCAATGCCCAACCAGCCAGAGGCGTGACCAGAAGGATGACTGATACCATCCCCAGGCGCACAGCAGACATCACTTTCCCGCGCCCGGTTTCCGGGTAAATCTTCTGGATTACACGTGTGTAAGCGGGAACAACAAACTCCTCCAACACCATTAGCAGGATGCCGATCGCCATCAGCGGTATCGCGCCGGCAATGAAGGCCGTGAGCAGGAAGAGCGAACGCCCCACCAGCCAGCAGAAAACGATCAAGTTTATGGTGCGGCGGCGGCGCATCAGCACCACACTGAAGGAAGTAAAGACAGAACCGATGTAGACTAGAGATGAATATAGCGCCAGCATATCGACGCTGGCGCCCAACCGGCGCAGCACGACCGGCGTGAAGGGGATGATGAAGGCGTAGAAGACGCCGTAGGCCAGTGACATCGAGAGTTCGATGTGCATGACCCGGCGCACAGAGGGCGGCAATGAACCGGCCAGAGCGGTCTCTATCCACATGCCGCTTCGGCACAGTAATTCTGTTCTATTCATCTGTGCTCCAGCCTCAAGCAATTCCTTTGCCAGGCGTCTAACGCGATCCGTTCTTACCAGTCTACTTTTGGGCCGGAGCGGGCCCCGACAAAATGTGAGGGGCCCAGATGCACCCCCGGCGCAAGCCGGAGGGTCCAACAAGCGGTGACGGTCGAACTCGTACCAAAACAACGTATACCGAGAGCCGCCTTTTGGGCAGCGTTTGGCAATACGAGAACGTTATCACAGAGCCAGAAAGATGACAACCGACGGCAGGCATGACGATGAATGCCAATTTCCTCCCTATATTCTGGGTCTTTACTCCGAGCGGCCCAATTGGAGTCGCATTGTCTGGCCGCCTGCGTTACTGTTCGTCGGGGGCACCGTCCCCATCGGTTTCACAACAGCAACGAAACACTCCATCAACCAAGGCCCGCTCCCGTCTTATATAGAAAGCCAACTACTCAGCCATACTCAGTTCGCAACCAAGCAAATCAGCCGTCCCCCGAGACCCAAACTGTCTGCACCCGCGCCATCCGCTCGCCAACCACTATGCCCTATCCCCTGCAGTTCCCCCCTGTGCGGGGCGACTCCCCCCGCAACGCCCCCCTGAAAACTAAGAACACAAAGAGCTTTCGCGTACGAGTGGCGTTACTAAAAACTAAAACCAGAAACTAAAAACTGCCCAATCCTGATCCAGACCACCTCCACCCTGAAATCCGGGACCTACCCCGTCAATCCAATGAGTTGACAACAAATGCGTTTGCTATTAGCCTAGTCGCATGGGCCGCAAAAGGAGCGCGCTCCGTAGTAAGCCGTTCGTTGATCGCGGACGATCGTTTGCGCCCGCCCGACATGCACCACCATCCACTCGTCACGCACCACTATCCACTTTTCAGAAATGACCGCCTCACCGTCACAGAGTCCCAATGCCCGCTCCCGCTGGTTGCACAGCATTCTGCTGCTGCTACCCTTGCTCGCGTCTGTGATCGCCGGCTGCCTCGCGCCGGTACGCGCTGTGCCGACGCCGACACCCTTGCCAACACCAGTGCTCTCCGAACAGAAGAGGTATACGGTAACGCGCGGCACTGTCGAAGATCGCTTCCAACTCGTCGCCGAGGTCGCGCCTTTGCGTTGGGAGCCGCTCGCTTTTGCAGTTGATGGTAAATTGGGCGCTGTCTTAGTCAGCGAAGGGGAGGAGGCCGAAGAAGGCCAGATTCTCGCCGAGCTGATTATGCCCGACCTGCTGGAACAGTTGGAGCAGGCCCGCCTGGACCTTTCCAAGAACGAGAGTGTGCTTTGGGTCTATGAGAATGAACAGAGCTTCAATCTGGAAAGAGCGCAATTGGAGGCGCGCCGCGTCGAACTCCTGTTGGAACAGGCCCGCAACGCCGGCGACACGGACCAGATCGCCCTCCAGGAGGTTGCACTCGAGCTAGCTCAACTGAACCTGCACGAGGTAGAGAGCCGCGTAGACCCATCCCTGGTACAGGCGGTCGCCCGCGCCCAGTTGGCTGTCGCTGCCCTGGAGCGCCAAGTCGAGGAACGCCGTATCCGCGCCCCATTTTCTGGTCAGGTTGTCGCCGTGGGGATCGGTCTGAACAGTATGCGCGGCTCCCTGGAACCGCCGCAACGCCGCGCCGATGTCCCCGCCTTTTCCCCCTTTATGGTCATCGTTGAACCGCAACCCGTTGAACTGATCGTTTCCAGCCAGAGTGTCGCGCTTCCGATCTGGTCATCGGCAAAGAGGTGACCGCCATTCATCGCTGGGCACAGGATGAGCCGTTCCCCGTGAATGTTTCCCAGTTGCCCACCATCTCCTCCGGGGATCGTTTCACTCCCGGTTTTCCAGGCTCGATTCACCTCGCTATAGAGGGCGAAACTCCCCCACTCGTCGCCGGAGAATTTATCAACATCGAAGTCGTCGCCGCCGTGCGCGACGATACCCTCGTGCTGCCCGACGCCGCCGTGCGTCGTTTCGGAGGCCGCACCTTTGTCGTCGTCCAGGATGGTGACCGCCAGCGCCGCATCGACATCCGCACGGGTCTGGAGAGCCAGGGTATGGTCGAGGTGCTGGAGGGTCTCGCCGAAGGCGACGTCATTGTGGGGCGCTAGATGCGTTTTCGTTTCCCCTTCTTCGGCCTTGCTCTGCGCCGACTCTTCAGTCGGCCCAGCCTGACCATCCTGTCACTGCTGAGTATCGCCCTGGCCATCGGCATGGTAGCCAGCATACCAGTCTTTTCGCAGGGGGTCAGCTACCTGCTGCTACAGGACGAACTGGCTGCCATCGGCGCCACCTTCCATCGTCCGCCCCTGACCATGCGCTTCTACTATATTGTGCCCAAAAGCAGCGCCCTTTCGCTGGATGATGCCCTGCGCCTTGAAACCGATTTTCGCCGCATCGTCGAAAGTGAGACGGGCCTCGCCGTCGCCGATACGCTCACCTATGTCGCCAGCCCCGGAATGGTCATTCAGCCGCTGGAAAATGACCCAACCTACACCGATCTCAAAGACAATATCATCGTCGAAAATGTGCAGTTCGCCGTCGTCAACAATATCCGGGAGCGCATCGACATCATTGATGGCCTACCCTTTGGGACCGAGAGCAGCGACAGTAGCGTACACGTTTGGTTGTATGAAGAGAAGGCCACCGAAATGGGTTTCCAGGTGGGTGAAACCTACCAGATGATTGAAGGCGCCTCCGGCCGCGCAATTCCCATTACCGTTGCCGGTATCTGGAGCCCGGCCGACCCCTCAGACTTCTACTGGTCTGCCACTACCATCTCCTGGCGCAAGCTCCTCCTTGTGACCGACAACGTCTATCGCCTCTCCATCGAGCCGGAGATCAGCGTCAAGACCGGCATCGCTGTCTGGTACCTCAGCCCCGACGAAGAGACCCTGTACCTGCATCAGGCCGATTCCGTCGCCAATGGCCTGCGCTTTGTGCCCAGTCGCGCCGATCTGCGCTTCCCCGGCGCCAAAATGGATGTCTCGCCCGAACTGCCTCTGAACCGCTACCTGCAAAGAAGAGCCAGCCTGTCCGCGCTTCTGGTTGGCTTCAGCCTGCCTGCCATTGGTCTGCTGCTTTTCTTCCTGTGGATTCTTTCGCATGTGACGGCTCAGTTTCAACAGGAAGAGGTCGCCATTCTCGCCTCACGTGGTGCCGGTCGGCGCTTTGTTGCCTTCCTCATCCTGCTCGAAACACTGCTCCTGCTCGCCGTCGGTATTCCGCTCGGCCTGGGCGCCGGGTATTTCATGGCCCGCGCGATGGGTCTGGCTTCCGGTTTTCTCGTCTTTACGCCTCGCGCCGGCATCCCGGCCACTCTCCTGGAAGTAGATTGGCGTCTCATCGGCTGGCTCTGTTACTGCTTGTGCTGGCACGAGGCATACCTGCCCTGCGCGCCGCACGCGGCGGCATTGTTCAACATCTTCGCAGCCGCTCCCGTCCGCACGCAGCGATTACAACTCTTCTGCTCGCCGGCGATGGCGCTCTTATCGTGCTAACCTGGTACGCCTATCGCCAACTGAGCCAGCGTGGCACACTCGGCATCATCGGCTGGGAGCCCAGCGGCGATCCATTTCGCGATCCGCTTCTGCTCCTGGCCCCTTCTTTTCGTCTTTACCTCAGCTCTCGTGCTGACCCATCTCTTTCCGCTGCTCATGGGGCCGGTCGATCGCCTGGGCAACCGCCTCCGCTCCTTCGTCGCCTACATGGGCCTCACCCAACTGCACCGCCAGGGCAGACACTATTCAGGCAGCATCTTCCTGACAATGGTCTGCCTCAGCCTCGGCGCCTTTTACGCCTCCATGGCCCTCAGCCTCGACCAGTGGCTCGCCGACCGCATCCAATACCAGGTCGGCGCTGACTACCGCTTTCAGCAGGGCATACCCCCCCCGGACATGGGCGGACCAAGCGGCCCCGGAGAGGAGCCGGATCCGGAAGTGGTCAGCGCCTGGTTGCTGCCCGTCGATGACTATCTGGGAATTCCCGGCGTCGAAGACGCAACCCGCGTCGCCGTCTTCAAAACCAGGACCAGTGTTTCCCGGCAGATCGAGCCGTCTTTCTCGGTATCGACCGTTACGACTTCCCCCGCGTCGCCTTTCATCGCTCGGATTTCAATCGGGCTTCCCTGGGCGAACTGATGAATCGACTCGGTATGTATCCCAACGGAATCCTCGTCTCGCGTAACTTCTTGAAACGCAGCCGCCTCTTGGAAGGACAGACTACCAAGCTGGACATATCGATAAACTACGGCTCCTTTGAACACGAGTTCCTGATTGTTGGCGCTTACGATTACTTTCCTACTGCCTATCCCGAGGATACTGAGGTCTTCGTCGGCAATCTGGGCTACCTGTTCGAGCAGGTCGGCGACGAGAGCCTACACCAGATCTGGATGAAGACCCGCGATGACGCCGTCCCCCAGACAATTGTCGACAGCCTCAAGGATCTCGGGATCCATCCGATCCGCATCCGCGACGCCCGCGCGCTCCTCACCCTCGACGAGGAAAGAGTTGAGCGCATCGGTCTCTACGGCATCCTGTCGGTCGGCTTTCTGGCCTCCACCCTTCTGGCCAGCCTCGGCCTCTTGGTCTATACCTATGCCTCCCTTCAAAGGCCGCTTGCAACAGATCAGCGTCATGCGCGCGGTCGGCCTCAAGACACGGCTCGTCCTCGCAATGGTGGGCGTCGAATACCTTGGCGTCATCCTCTTTGGCGTCCTCTGGGGCGTTGCGATTGGCATCGCCACCGCCTATCTCTTTGTGCCCTTCTTCCGCGTCAGCGGCGACCCCATCTTTGCTTTGCCGCCCTTTGTGCGTCACATCGCCTGGGGCCAGATCGGTATCCTTGCGTTCGTTTTCGGCACCGCGTTGTTGGGTTCCCAGTCGATTATCCTCTACTGGAGCACACGGCGCGATCTCTTCCAGGTCTTGCGCATGGGACAGAGGGAGTAACAGCATGGTTCAAGCTGCCGGCGCCGACAACGCTCCCCTGGTTGTTTGCGACAATCTGGTCAAAATCTACCAAATCGAGAGCTCGAAGTTGTAGCCCTCCAGGGCCTGGATCTGGAGATCCGCCGCGGCGAGATGATGGCAATCATCGGCGCCAGCGGCAGCGGGAAGTCCTCTCTTCTCAATATCATCGGCGGCCTGGACCGTCCCTCTGCCGGGCAGATTACGGTGAACGGGCGCAACCTGCTCAAGGCGCCGGACAGGGAACTGGAGGACTATCGGCTGCACGACGTAGGCTTTGTCTGGCAGCAGTCGGCGCGCAACTTGATCCCCTATTTGACCGCTCAGGAAAATGTTGAACTGCCCATAATCGCAGCCCGCGCGCGCACCGCCCCGCCGGCGCAGCGCGCCCGCGAACTGCTCGACGCAGTCGGGTTACTGAGCCACAGCGACCATCGCCTGGCACAGCTTTCCGGTGGCCAGCAACAGCGCGTCGCTATTGCCGTCGCACTGGCCAACCAGCCCCAAATCCTGCTGGCCGATGAACCGACCGGCGAGGTAGATTCGATTACAGCGAACCAGATCTGGCAGCTCTTGCGCGAGTTGAATCGACGCTTCAACCTTACCAGCATCATCGTCAGCCACGATCGCGATATCGCCCGCGTTGTTGACCGCGTTATCGGTATCAGAGACGGCAAGATCAGTACCGAAACCGTGCGCCAGGCCCACAGCGGGATGCTGGAGGAACAACTGTCCCAGGAAGGGATAAACGGCGAGAGCAGCGAGGCGCTCCCCTTTGGACGAGCCGCTTGCCGGAGCCGATGATGTCAATCTGCAACTCGAAGAGCGCGTCGTCCTCGATTCGGTCGGCCGGCTGCAGATGCCGCACGAGTATCTGCAAAAGCGCGGCATCGGTCGCAGAGCGGTCGTGCAGTTGGTCGAAGATGGCATCCTGGTCGGCAAGCGCAAGAACAGTTCGCCTTGACAACCGATTCCGGCCCTGCGGCCGATGAGACTGCCCTCACCCCTGCCATCGGCGCAGCTGCGGAGGACGACACTTCCGCCTTGAGCCAGGATCCTACGCCACACCGCAGCGTCTCCTGGTGGCGGCGACTCTGGCGAAGTGCCCCGCGTGAATTGGAGGAAGTTCCGCTCTCAGAGCAGGCAGCCAATCCCTGGTCGAGTGGCTTTGCATCCTCCACCGAAGATGGCGCAGACGACACCGGCGCCGCCGGCAGTCAGCATGAATCTCTCCAGTGGGATCTGGGGGCCGTGCCTGCCCGTTCCAACTTGGGGACCTCTGTGCCCCCGCCGGATAGCAGTACCGCCAACTCCGGTTCGCTGGCGATATCCGAATTCTACAACGGACCCCTCGTCGAAGTCAGTGATCTCCAGCGCATCTATGCCGTGGGGGATCAGTCTGTACATGCCCTGCGCGGCATCGATCTCGTCGTTCCCCGGCGCTGCTTCGCGCTCTTCCGCGGCCGGTCAGGCTCCGGCAAAACGACTTTGCTCAACCTGATCGGCAGCCTGGACACGCCAACCGCAGGCCGCGTCTCTCTGTTTGGCCAGGATATCAACCTGTTGTCCGCCGATGAATGCGCCCAGATCCGGCAACTGTACATCGGCTTCGTCTTTCAGGCCTTTTCCCTCATTCCTACCCTGTCGGCTCAGGAAAATGTCGAGATGACCCTGCGTATCTTGCAAGTTTCGCCTGCGGAGCGCCGACGGAGAGCCGCCTACTGTCTTTCACTGGTTGGGCTTGGCCGCTGGGCCGACCATCGACCGTTTGAAATGTCAGGCGGCCAACAGCAGCGTCTCTCGATCGCCCGTGCCCTGGCGCACGGCCCGGCCATGCTGATCGCTGACGAACCGACCAGTGATCTGGACAGCGAAACCGGCCGTCAAATTCTTCAGCTGTTCGCCCAGTTGGTGGAAGAGGAAGGCATCACCGTACTGATGGCCAGCCATGACCCGGCCAGTGATGATTTTGCCACCGAAGTATACGAGCTGCAGGATGGCAGTATAGCCAATCGCGTCAGCAACGGCCGATCGAACTAGAGAAGAAATACAGTTCCGTACTATCCGCGCAGCTGTCCGCAGAGGAGAACTGACCATGGGCCAGACTTGCCGCGTTGCCATCGCCGGCTGCCATCGCATGCTCGACAGAAAGCCGGCCAACCACAACTTCGCCTCGGCCTTCGATGCCGTGCCCGACACCGAAATCGTTGCCGTCTTCGACCTGGGCGCCGACACCCGCCAGGCATTTCAAGACTGCTGGGGGGACAAGGTTGCCGCCTACGATCAGTTTGGCCGCATGTTGCAACAGGAACAACCTGATATTCTCTGCGTCGCCACCAGCCAAAAGATGCACGCCGATCAGATCCAGCAGGCCGTCGCGGCTGGTGTGCGGGGAATCCTGTGCGACAAACCTCTCGCAACCAGCCTGTCAGAGGCCGACCGGCTGTTGGATGCCTGCCGCACGGCCGCCGTCCCCCTGGCACTCGGGCTGGACCGGCGCTGGCTCATCTCCTACCACCGTCTGGCCGAACTGCTGCGCGATGGAATCGTCGGCCAGGTGCGGTCGCTGATCATCTACGGCATCCCCAACCTGATCACCACGGCTGTCACTGGTATGACGCCGCTCTCCAACTGGTCGGCGATCTCGAACCCCTATGGGTAAGCGGGTTTGTCGACGATCTCCCCGGCGAAGCGCCAGATTCCCGCCGCCTCCTGGATCCGCCCGGTCGCTGTATGGTGGGGCTGACCGGAGACGTCCAACTCTATTTCACGCCCGGCGGCAGCCAGCGGCCGGCCTTCGATATTATCGGCGACCAGGGGCGTTTGACGGTTGTTGACGATGGGCTTCAGGCGTGGCAATGGCAAGACGGCGGCACCCCGCCGCAACCGCTGGATATCCCCCAACCGGTTGGCGACTTCCCCGCCGGCGCCGCCATCGTGCGCGACCTGGTCAACGCCGTTGCCAACGGCGGCACGACCGCCTGTGACGTGGAAGAGGCCAGACGCGCTACTGAAATCGGCTTCGCTATTCACCTGTCGCATGCTCGCCATGGCGCCCGCATCGAGCTGCCAGCCGCCGACCGGGAGTTGCGCATTCCATCTTTCCCGTGGGGCAACGAATAGAGACACGCTCGTCTTTATCCGCGTCAGCCCGGCGTATAGGCCGCCGCAGCCTTGTGAAAGATGGCGATCACGTCGTCGATCTCTCGCGTACCCCAGTTCTCGTGCAATGACATCGTGAAGTGGCTCTTCAGCATCGCCTGTGCGTTGGGGCACGGGAATTCTCGATTCGGGTCGCCTTTGTATAAGGGGCTGGCCCAGGGGTAGCCGCTGCTGCCAAATACCCGGCGTTCCATATACCACGTCTGTCGGTGTGGCATCCCGGATCGATAGTCGTCCGTAACCGGCAGACCTTCGGCGCGCAGACTCTCGCAGAAAGTCTCCTTGTCACACGCCGCCCGCTCCGGGTAAAACGCCACCGGCAAAAACCAATAGCTGGATTCGAAGTCCCGCCCTCCCTGAGGCAGCGCGATCATCTCCAGATCTGCGTGCCTTCGATCAACTGGCCGACGATGGCCCGCCTACGCTCGACCATCTCCGGCAGTTTGCGCAACTGCACCTGCCCCACCACCGCCGCCACGTCGGTCTGGTTGAAGTTCAGCGTCGCTTCGATGTTGGTGGCGCCTTCCGGCAAAAATGGGGCTTGCCGCGGTCGGCCATCCGCCGAACCGATTGGTAGAGCGCTCGTCCCGCGTGAAGACCATTCCGCCCTGCCCGCCCGAGCTATGGTGTTTCCCCGACATCGTGGAAAAGGCTGAGATGTCACCGAAGCTCCCAGCAACTGCCCCTGACCGGGTACCGTGCGCCTGGGCGCAATCTTCGATCACCGGAATGCCGTGCCGCCGTGCCACCTCCATAATGCCGCCCATGTCGGCCGGCTCGCCGGCAATATGAGGTACGACAACCGCGCTTGTGCGGTCTGATATCAACTCCTCGATCTGCTCCGGCCCGGTGTTGTAGCTGCCCGGCGCCGAGTCGGCGATCATCGGGACCATGTTCTGCAGAGGGATCGGCATCATGCCGCCCGGGTCGGTGAAGGGGCCGATGATGACTTCGCTGAACGCCTCCAACTGCAAGGCCTTCAACGCCACGTAGATGGCCGTCGAACCAGAACTGACCGCGTCCGCGTACCCTCCCCCCAGGTATTCAGCAAACTGGGCGCAATAGGCCTCCTCCTCTTCGCCCTGGTAGGCGCCTAGCGTCCCCGATGCTATTACCCGGTCCAAATAGGCGATAACCGCCTCCTTCTCCTCAGTTCCGATATGCCCGCGCGGTGGGCAAGGGCGTCTCCCGGACCGGCACACCCCCATGAAGGGCCAGCTTTTCTACCTTGTCTTCCATGGTTCAACTCTCCAGCGTGTATGTGAAGCGGTTGTCTGCCGGAAGCTCGGCCAGCGCAGAAGGGATGTCCGCCTCTGGACGCAGCGAATGATCCAGCGGTCCCGCCCGTTTCGCCCCCTCCACCGTACACGCCGCCCAGCCCGCGCCCAGAAGGTCGCGGCCATGCCACGCAACAGAGTCTATGCGGGGCGCCTCACCAAAGGGATGCAGTACGCTCAGAAATGCCGCTCGCGTCTTCGTCCGTTGCCGGATGATCAACCCCTGGCGCTCCTCTGCCGGGTTTCCTGGCGCACGTCCCGTGAACATGCTTGTACCAGCCTCCTCAGCCAAAAAGAGCGCCATGCCCGATCCCTCCAACTGCCAGATCACGGCCGTATCGCCCTCGAGGGCATGGCGCCGGAGACCGTGCAGATGTTCGTAGCCCTCGCCCTCGAGTTCGGCCGGTCCCACCACAAGGTTTTCGGCAAAAGGCGCCAACGCACCAGCGTTGCGGAAAACCCAGTCTATCCGGCGCTCCTCTCCGCCGTCGACCACAAAAATGTCCACCAAGTATTCGGGACGCGCCAAAACCACCCTGCGCATAGTGACACCGGCATACGTGTCGATTGCGTCCCCGCTGACGCCGCCAGTTGGGGCGTCCTCACTTGGGTCGACCATTGCTCCCCACTCCATCGTCGCATCCGCGATCTGGAATGGGCCATCGGGCCGAAAGGCAATGCTCCTACCTGCGCCCGGCGGCTGCGACAGCCCGTCCAGGATCATCGTATTGTGGCTGATCGTCTGGCGGTACCAGCCTTGAAAAAGGTCGATTCCATAGCCGGGCGTGCCCAGGTCCGGAGCAAGGCGGCTGCCCTGTGCGTAGAGAGTCAGGCCCAGCTTGTCCGGGTGCCCGTGGCCGCCGCCGTGCAGCCCGTACTTGAGCAAGGCATACTGTTCTGTTGCCGGAGATGGCTGCCCATCCCCGTCCGGCTGCGAACGCAAAATTGCATAGCCCGTGGCCGGCATCTGCACGCTGGGAAGCGCGGGGAATCCCCCCGCAGGCACCGAATGCGCGCCGAAACAGCAGCGCGTCGAGACTTTCGCGCGGGCCGTGTTGATATGCTCGCGTCAGCACCTGCCCGAAAAGCTCCTCCTCGAACCAGGCGTATCCAATCTCATAAAAGGCCGGCGCCTTGGGCACGCATGGCAGCAGTCATCGTTCAAGCCGGTAAAGTACCAGCAGTCGTTGGTGGCTGGCAAGCTGCCATCGGGGTAAGCGCACAACACCGGCGCCCGCAAAACTGCTGCCAGTGACGGATGCTGGCGCAGGTCCCACTTGGGCAAGGTTGGCCGTCGCCTTCGCCAGCAGTAGCAGCGCCGCCACCGTGTAAAAATGGTAGCTGAACGAGCCTTCAAACCACAGACGTCGGCCAGAATGCCCTCCCGCGCCTGGGTATGAAAGCCATAGCGGCCGTCGATGGCGAAGGCAAGCAATTCCTCACTACCGGTCACCGCACCGATTGTGCCGATAGCCGCATTGTGCCAGCAAGCGAAGTTGTGAATCCCGCCAAAATGACGCTCCATCAGAAAGTCGGCCGCCGGAAGCAGCAGTTTGTCAACGATCTCCGCCTGCTGCGAATCCGTGAGCGTAGATCCGGATCAGATCGAAAGACCACGCCAGCGGAATCGACCACACCGCCTCGTCCAACGTACTGAACTGCGCAACGCCATGGTTCGGCGGCCGCCAACCCGAATAAGCCTTGTACCCATCGTACACCGCAGCATAGCCCAACAGGATTTCCTGCACCCGCTGCCGATTTCTCTCCTCGCCCTCCATCTTCCACAGCACGGCCAGCCGCAGCGCCGACTCCGACAGCCTGTTGTTGACCGACCAGCGCCAAGCCGAGTCAAATGGCTCGCCGCTAAAAGTCGCGCCGTCAACCGGGCAGCGATGGAGGTGAGGGGAGTCCGGCTCAAAAAGACCAGTGACACGCGTGCTGCGGGCAGAAATTATCATGATAGTAGCCGCCCGGCAACTGCGGCACGTCTACAGGGCGGGCAAAAAAGTCTTCTACTTCATGACGCAACAGTTCAAGCGCCGGCGCGAACTGCGGCAGCCCTGCCTTGTGCCGAATCTGCGCCCACTGCTCGTCTGATACAAGAGTGTTTCCCATAGAGCGTTTCCCTATGTCAGTCCGCTCACGAAGACCCAGCCTTCTCTACCTGCGCCTTGAAAGCCTGCCCACCGGACGCAATCCAGGCCGCCCAGCCGGTCAACAGAAAGCGGACGCCCAAGTTGACGTAATGCGCAGCGTTGGCGTCACTGACAAGCCCGCCCGGAGTCCTCCCGGCCGCGATAATCTGCGCAAACGCCCCTTCTATCGTCGCTACAACATCGGGGTGGTCCGTATTGCCCAGATGCCCCATCGTCTGCGCCAGGTCGCTGGGCGCGACGAAGAAACGTCTATATGATCGACGGTCAGAATCTCAGCCAGGTTGTTGATCGCAATGATGTCTTCGATCAGGACAACGACCAGCGTCTCGTCGTTGGCCCGGTGTACATAGTCCGGGACGCCGTATCCCTGGCGGCTCGTGTACATGCCCCGCCTGCCGGCAGGATGGAACTTGGCCGCGTCGACCACCGCCTTGGCCTCTTCGACCGTATTGACATGAGGGACGACCAGCCCTTGCGCCCCCAAGTCGAACGTGCGGTAGATAATCCCTTCATTGTTCTGGTTGACCCGCACCACCGATGTCATGCCCCACAGGTCGCAGGCCCGCGTCAGGTCGGGGATGTCGCCGAAATCCACCGGGCCGTGCTCCCCTTCAAGCCAGATCGCGTCGAACCCCAGTGGTCCCAGCTGATCGATCATGTCTGTCGAGTTGTTCCCGGAGAGGCAGACGACGGTCTCGCCCCGTTCCAACTTGTGTTTCGCTCGGTTCTCTCGCATTTCTACACATCTCTCTTTCTGCATGGATTCGAATCTTCTCTGATTGGCGAATGATAGGGCAACTGTTGCGGCCGCTATCGCAATATTCTAACGCTTAAAAATTAGGGCGGCCCCATAAAGGGCCGCCCTAAGAAAGTCACGTCTCACATCTGTGCTAAGAGTCGTAGCTTCTGCTACTCTGTCGGCCAACCTTCGGGAATCTCGTTGGCAGCCAGAGCAGCGTCGATCCCCGCGGCCGCTTCCTCGGTCACCCAGCCTCGCCAGATATCGGACTTGCTGTTCAACCACCACAGCGCGGCGTCATTGCTGGAGGCGTCACTGTTGTCATTCAGCCAGCGAGCCACCTCTTTATAGACCTCAATATTGAAGTCCCAAGCCGTCAGCATTTCGACAACGTCGGGCGCCCCGTCCACAAGATCAGGATGGACGGCAATCAAGATATCAGCGTCTTGGTATGCGCAAGCTTTGTCCGCCGACCAGCAATCGTCGCTATAGGCCGGTTCTTCGAGCCGGACCAGGTCCAAAATGAGAGCTGGATCATTCGTGCCCCACTGGTAGCCTACCCAGGGTTCCCCTTTCTCGTAGGCGCCGTACAGGTCGGCATTCGCCGCCGCGCCATCGCCGGGATTCACAATATGTACATGATCCTCCAACTCGTAGCCCATAACCTGAGCCGCATTAACCTCTTCGCAAGCCCAGCCGATTACACAGGAAACAAGACGCGCCTTCCCCCCTGATTCGGCGGTCGCAAAGAGCTCCTTGAACTGTTCGTCCTTCAGGTCTTCGACGCTGTCCAACTCAGGATACTGCTCCTGCAGATACTTGGGTATGACGAAAGCCGACTGCCAGTCCTTGCCCAGGCTCGCGCCAATTTCAACTACCTCCTCGTTGCCCAGCGCTTCATTCCACGCCTCAATCTGGTTGGGTAGCCAGATTTCCAGGGTAACATGTGTGTCACCATTGCGCAGTCCCTGGAACAGGGGCAACGTTGCGCCAAATACGACTTCGGTACCGTAGCCGTAGCCTTTTTCGACGATGTATTGGGCCACACGGTTCTGAATCTGGGCACTGCTCCAGTTCAAGTCGCTGAATATAATCGTTTCCATTGAGCTTGCCGGAGCGGCAGCCGCCTCCTCGCTTGGCGCGCTCGGCTCAGCCGGCACACAGGCTGCGGCTACGACAAGGACCAGCAATGCAATAAACAATCGGAATCGTGCAAGCATGACTCTTTCCTCCTGTGGGGTGGTCTATACCAATGTCAACAACTGCAAGCGAGACTTGCCAAAAAAGTGGCGGCAACCTAAGAAATCGGCGTCCCTCGCTCCACTCTCCAGCCTCTGTGTACCCGCTTACTGCTAAAGTACGAGAGTTACATTTACTTGGCCCAGCTTTCCCAATTCTTTACCCGGATGTGCCACGCGCCTTAACATCTGCTGACAATAGCGTCTCTGCCGTCAGATTCAGTTGAAGGTAATCCAGTTAGATGCTTGCCAAAAAAGGAAGAACTAGCTCTGACAAGGCTGACTCACCGCGGATTTACACGAGGGACTTCGGCACATCACACGCCTCGAACGGATTGGGACCAGAACCCTACTCTCCCGATACTATCACACTTATCCTGTTCAGGCCAATCGAGTCAGCCACCTGGGGTCTGTCCAAGATATCATGTGAAGTGAGCAGGAGGAACTGCGGAGCCGCCAGGTCTAGTTGGACAGAGGTGAAATGATGGAAAAACTACTGTCGCTGGCAAACGGAAATCCGTCACTCCGCACACCGCAAAGGCTCTTCAAATTGGGAATAGCAGTAGGCGATACTAGGGATTGTTGACAATTGGAGGGGACTTCTCACAATATGACAATATCACGACGCCTGCGGGCAGAGTCAGGCCGTTTCTCGCCTGATTCTCAAATTCTACGACCATGGTCTGCAGCGACCACACATGGAGTCCCTCGCAGCCCTTCGTGTCCTGCGTAAATCAAAAAGTGTCCCTCGTGGCCCTTCGAGGATAGATTATTCTATGATCCCGCAGATTTCTGTTCAGACAAACGTCAATGTGCCCTGGGGATCTTGCTACTCAATAGGCCAACCTGCGGGGATCTCGTTCGCCGCAAGGGCCGCCTCGATAGCCGCCGCCGCCTCGCCGGTTACCCAGCCGCGCCAAATGTCGGCATTGCCGTTCAGCCACCACAGCGCAGCATCATTTGTGCTTGCATCGCTGTTTTCGTTTAGCCATGCCGCGACTTCCCGATAAATGTCGATGCGAAAGCCCCAAGCCCGCAGCATCTCTACTACGTCAGGTGCCGCCTCCAAAAGGTCTGGATGGACCGCGATCACGATCGTAGAGTCTTCGTAAGCACAGGCCTTGGTCGTGGACCAGCACTCTTCACTGTACGCCGGCTCCTCCAGCTGGACCAGATCCAAAAGCAGGGCTGGATCATTAGTGCCCCACTGATATCCAAGCCACGGTTCCCCCTTCTCGTAAGCGCCGTAGAGATCAGCGTTAAGCGCAGCCCCGTCGCCCGGGTAGTCATGATATGTACATGGTCCTCCAGGCCATAACCTTCGACCTGGACGGCGTTGACTTCCTCACACGCCCATCCGATTACGCACGAGACCAGGCGCGCCTTGCCGCCCGTTTCAGGTGTCGCAAACAACGCCTTAAACCGTTCATCCTTCAAGTCCTCGACGCTGTCCAGTTCAGGATACTGCTCCTGCAGGTAGGCGGGGATCACGAAAGCAGACTGCCAGTCACGTCCCAGGCTCGTGCCGATCTCAACCACCTCCCCATTTTCCAACGCTTCATACCACGCCTCAACGATGTTGGGCAGCCAGATTTCCAGGTTTACATGGACATCTCCCCGGCGCAGCCCCTGCAACAGGGGCAGAGTTGCACCGAAGACCACATCGGTAGGATATCCGTACCCTTTTTCGACAATGTACTGGGCGATACGGTTCTGAATCTGGGCGCTTGACCAGTTCAGGTCGCTAAACACAATTGTTTCGATCGAGCTTGAAGGAGCAACCGTCTCGTCCGAGACGCTCTGCTCTGCCGGCACACAGCCGCAAATGGCAATCACGACGAGTAGCACTATCAGTATTCTGCATTGGGTGGGCATATTCAGTTCCTTTTTTTGTTGAGTGGACTGTCGAATGCCGGCATGAGCCGACGGTGACAGTAGTGGAGAAAACCTGAAGTTATGGTAGACGGGCTTCTTGTACGTGGCTCGTCTGCAGACGAACCACTATTTGCACACAGTGTGTCAGTCTTGAGAAATTGCCGGAGAAGGGCCGAACCGCTTTGGACACCTTTTCCCGCAACTCGAAGTAACTACAGCGGCCCGTCCAATGGGGTCATGCCATGCAATTCACTTACCCCACACTGCGCCTGTCCTCCTGCTCCTGGGCCACCGACTGTGTCAAGCGGTCGATAACGATGGCCAGAAACACGATCGCCAACCCCGCGATGGCGCCGTTGCCAGGCTGGTTCTTCTGCAACGCCCGCAGCACGTTGTCGCCAAGCCCTCCGGCCGCCACCATGCTTGCGATCGTCACCATCGCCAATGCCATCATTGTCGTCTGGTTGATGCCGGCCATGATCGTCGGCAGCGCCATCGGGATCTGCACCTTGGTCAGCAGCTGGAACGGTGTCGTTCCGAACGCATGCGCCGCCTCGACCGCTTCCGTCGAGACCTGCCGGATCCCTAGATTGGTCAGGCGAATGACCGGCGGAACCGCGTAGATGATCGTGGCGAAGATGCCGGCAGGCTTCCCCAGTCCGAAGAATAGAATGCCCGGCAGCAGATACACGAAGCTGGGCATCGTTTGCATTCCGTCCAATATGGGGCGCATCAGATTGTTCGCAATACTGTTGCGCGCCGCCAGTACACCCAGGGGCAGACCAACTGTTACCGCGATCACCACCGCCACCACCATCAGCGCGATCGTGTCAACTGTGTTTTCCCACAGATCCATGAAGCCGACGAACAGCAGGGCGAATATGGTGAATCCCATTAGCCTCCAACGTCCTACCGCAAAGGAGAGAAAAGCCACCGCCACCACAACTGCCGGCCAGGGAACCCATTTCAATATGTCTTCGATCGCAACCAACGCATAAGGGCAACCGCGCTGCTCATCCCGTCAAACAGCCAACTGCCCTCTCGCGTCACCCAGTCGACCGCGTCGTCTATGCGCGCCGCCGATAGATTCTCGTACCGTTTTCTCCAGGACAAGAGTGCCGCCGTTATCCGTTTTTACTTCGGTGCTGGAAACGGTAGTGGGGAATTCCATTTCCGGTCCCCATAATCCGAAAGTTGTCAGCCAAACGGCGATAACTAGCGCCAATCCGACCAGCCAGAAGGAGGTGGGAAGTGTGTCCGCCTTGCTGCCCGGCGATTGAGAGAGGTCGGGCGGCACCTCTTTTCCCCGCCCCGCGCAGCGGCAGAGAAGGATCCGAATCCTCGATTCTGCTTGCATCCATACCTGCTGGCGGCTCTGGCAGGCTGCTCTGTGCCCGACGCCGGGCTATCGACCTGGGCCATTTCAACGCCTCCTCTTCAACTGCCTACCCGCTATTTCGAACCTGATTTCCGGATTCCCAGTCAGATTAGCCAGTGCGCCAACGACTGAGAATGAACTGCTGGAAGCTAGTCGACCATTCCAGCCAATAAAGCCCGTCGGTGGATCTCGCCTAACAAGCGCCCCTCATCGTCCACGACCGCGATATAGCGCTCCGTCTGCGCCGCCAGGGGGATGATCTCATCAATGAAAGTTTCGGGGCTGGTGGTCGCCAAAAGGTCGTCCTGCGCCACCTTCAGAAGTTCAACCTGTCGGCTTGCCAGATTGGCGACCTCGTCCTGCGTAAGAATCCCCTTGAGAATGTGACCGTCCCCCACGACATAGGCCGCATTCGGCGTCTTGTTCTGCATGGCGGCCAACGCGGCGTGCGCCCGCATCCTGCCCTTCGTGAATAACGACGGCAGGCTCCTGCATGATCGAACCCGCCCGGATCACCTTGGCACGCGACACATCCTGCACGAACGCCGAAACATAATCGTTGGCCGGCCGCGTCACGATCTCCTCTGGCGTGCCTTCCTGCACGATAACGCCGTCGCGCATGATTGCAATGCGATCGCCCAACTTGAGCGCCTCATCCAGGTCATGCGTGATGAAAATAATTGTTTTCTGCAACTCCCCCTGCAGCATGACCAGTTCGTCCTGCATCTCCCTGCGAATTAGTGGGTCCAGCCCGGTGAACGGCTCGTCCATGATCAGCACTTCCGGGTCAACCGCTAACGCTCTCGCAAGCCCTATCCGCTGCTGCATGCCCCCACTCATCTCGCTCGGGTAGTAATATTCCCAACCTTTAAGTCCCACAGTTTCGATGGCTTCTGCCGCCAACTTGTAGCGGCCATCCCTGTCCAGGCCCTGTACTTCAAGGCCGTATGCCACGTTGTCCAGCACGCGGCGGTGGGGAAGGAGAGCGTAATGCTGAAAAACCATCGCTATCTTGTCGCGTCGAAACTGCCTCAAATCCTCCTGCGAGTAGCTCAGAATATCTTCGCCTTCGAACTGGATCTGTCCCTGTGTAGCTTCGATCAGTCTGATCAGACAGCGCGCCAGGGTCGACTTGCCGCTGCCCGTAAGGCCCATCACCACGAAAGTCTGCCTCTTGATACGCTGAAGGAGAGATCCCGCAGCCCGATAACTAGGTCCAGTTCCTCTTGAATGTCGTCGCGGCTCTTGGATGCGTGTTCCGGCTCCAGCGCGCGCTCCGGGCTGTCGCCGAACACCTTCCATAGGCCGCTCACCTGTATGTGGCAACGTTTCTATTGATGCAGTTTGTCCGCCGCCCGAATGTCTGATTGCGAGTTGTGTCGTCGGTGGACGACACTCTCAACTGGTCATCGTGAGTTCGCAAACAGCTCTCTCGTCCAATCATCAACATTATCATGCTACCCAGATGCCGTCAAGCTCGGTCCTCACGTGCTTGAAATGTCTCCGAGACTGTCGAGGCACACCTGTCCACTCATTCCAATCCGGGAGATAGCAGATCTCTGCGGACACGAGATACCCATCCTCAATTACCGCCGTCCGGGCAGTCGCGTCTACGGACCGTCTCAGCAAGCGGCACGCCGGGCGCAGAGACGCCGCCGGAGCGCTCACCCCAAGTAATGGCCGGCATGGCGTAGGCAAGATGCTGGCCATAGGGATAGTTCATGCCCCCGTGCGGGATCACTTCAAGCCCTGCTGCCTCCGCGATATGACAGATTCGCAGACACGCCGATATCCCGCCCACCCATAACGGATCCGGCTGCAAAATATCCACCGGACGCTGGTTGGCCGCCCGCGCAAAGCTCTGAGGCATATACCAGTGCTCTCCCGTCGCCAATGTCTGCCAGGGCAGGCGCTGTCGCACCTGCGAAAACCCTTCCGTGTCATCCGGCAGCAGGTAGTCCTCAATCCACCTGAGCGATCAAGTCGCCGCATCTATCGCCAGGCGAACAGTGTAATCGACGTCCAAAGCCATCCAGCAGTCCAGCTCAGC